TGTGTGTGTGTGTGTGTGTGTGTGTGTGTGTGTGTGTGTGTGTGTGTGTGTGTGTGTGTGTGTGTCTGTCTGCTTACCTACCTACCAAGTTATTCATCTATCACAGGTCTATGTTTGTGTACATGTGATCTTCCGAGAGTCAAGTCCTTCCAAGAGTCGAGTCCTCCCGTCAGTTCACCAGAACAGACAGAGAAACAATGAGGGGAGGTGAGAACAAACATGCAATCACAGTCGACGAGACGACCAGCAGTGGCCGACAAGAGGACAGATGACCAAAGCCGAAGTCCAAAATCAAGCACAGCTTTATGAGAGAAAGCGCAACCCAAGAGAACCGCGGAATCCGTCTCAAGAATCTGCTATCCTCATCCCTCCTCCTTCGCCCCAAACTTACGCTGATGATCCACCCACACCCTTTCCGGGGCAACCCCCGGAGCCATGTCGTGATTGACAAGGACGAGCTAATGATATGACATCATATGACTAACTATATACAGTACTATACCTACTAGCACTGGGCTTTAAAAAAAAAAAAAAAAAAAAAAAAAAAAAAAAAAAAAAAAAAAAAAAAAAAAAAAAAAAAAAAAAAAAAAAAAAAAAAAGCACTAACTCCCTGCAACTAAGGCTGACATAAATCTCCACATTTCCTCCCTTGACCGCAAAAAGGTTCCGCAGCGCGATCCCAAAGACGATGTCTGAGAATCCCTTCGCGGGGTACTACTTTCGCAATGCACAGGAGCTGTCCGTACGGCTTCGTGGATATCCGTACGGACGGTGGTATTACGGTGACCGTCGATCCGATGCAGGATATCAGTACGGATTACCGCGGCCAGCTTTTGATTCCGTACGGACGGTGGACCAGGATCAAAAATCCTGTCCAGTCTTTAAAACCAGTGTGTCTTCTGACTTCCAAATCGACTCCTCATATTCTTCGTCCGCTTCGTACTGCTCAGGTATGGAAAAGGTTGGCCGACTTTCAGTCTGTGGCCAACGAAGTCCCACACACCCCCGTCTTATCGTTGGTTCCTTTTCAGAGCCAATAATCGGGGGTAGCACCCATCTGAATTTCCTAAGAATCCTGTTCGCATGCCCAATCGACCTGCGGTCCCCCCTCTGATAAGCCAGCAGTATCGAGACGTCATCCATCAGCCTAACCCCCAAACACCAATTTCCTATCATTGCCCAAAGAGTCGAGAAACAATGAAACTGGGCATGCTTTCCCTTCCCAAATGGTTCCAAATGGTTCCCAAATGGTCCCAAATGGTTCCAAATAGTTCCCAAATGGTCCCAAATGGTTCCAAATGGTTCCAAATGGTCCCCAAACGGTTCCATGTGGTCCCAAATGGTTCCATACATGATTGACAGCATTTTTCAGAATGCAGCTCCTTGAAAGACTAACAAAAAAAGAAAAGAAAAAAAAAGAGAGAGGAGATGTCAGCTCGCGGGCCATGGCTTCCCATTTTCCAGATGAACTCCATTTTGGGAAGGTGCGGAATTTTCCATATGAACTCCATTTTGGGAAGGTGCCTTCACTTTTGCAAAGGTCTGAGCCACCAAAAGAGGAAACAAAATTGTTGCATCCCCATGGACCTGCAGATAAACACAGTAGAAGAGATGACAGTTTGGCATATTAATATCATGATTAGTAATTCATTCTTATACTAATTTATTAGTTAAAAAATCACTTAATCATTGCTCAATTATTCAATATTTATTATTACTTCATGATTATTTAATACTTAATTACAATAAATATTTGATGCAGGGTTGCCGGCGTTCAGGACGGGCCAAACGCCCAAACCCGACCGCCCGAACGTACGGGACCCCTTCGGAAGGCGTTCGGCCGTTCGGGCCGAACGCGGACCCTAAAAAAAACAAACAAACAAACAAGTTTTCAAAAAAAANCCTGGGCACTACATCCAAATTCTTTACCAAATTTGAGCTAAAAATCAAATACAGAAAATAAGCACTATGATAAAAATAAGAAAAAATAAAAAGAGAATTAAAACGAGTGAGTGTGCCAGCACCTTTTCGACACCGCCATCTTTGCCGATTTTTAATTATTTTTTGGCATTGATAAATGCCCTGAAAATTTACAGATATGTAGTTTGCATAATCAATAACTCATTAATTTTTTTTAAAAAAATAATATTTTTTTTTAGGCCCCGAAATAAAGTGAAAACAAATAGTTAAAAGTGAAAAAAAAAAAAATAGTGAGTGGGCGAGCACGTTTTGACACCCCCATCTTTTGACGATTTTTAATGTTTTTTGGGCTTCGCAGAATGGCTTCAAAATTTATAGGCGTGTAGGTTACATCATAAAGAACTCACAAAAAAAAAATCAGAAACAAAAACTTATGTTGAGGCCCCGAATTTTTTTTGGGCGGGGGCCGAACCTGGAGGTGTTCGGCCCCCGAACGCCCGAACGTTCGGGGGCCAGCCCGGGGGGCCCTGAACGTTCGGTCAGATAACCCTGATTTGATGTATATTTGATTAATTTACTATATTACTTGATCATCAATGATTCATCATTACCTATTTAAAGCACCAGTACACCACATATCGGCCTGCGGGTGTCAGCACGAAACCCACACCACATCGGAGGCTGCCAATTTTTTTTTCAACGGCGGGCCTGGCCGCGCGGCCCCTCCAAGTTTTGCTTGTGGCGACAAAACTTTCTGCAAGGCTGGGGCCGTGTACTACCGGTTTAATGTAAAGGATTCGGTAGAAAGCACATACAGCATCCATTTCCCATACGCGCCACAACTCTTCGATTTCCATCGGCAAATGCATCCAACTAATCAGCACTGTCAGACAGCACCATAAATCAGCAGGTGATGGAAAAAAAAAAAAAAAAAAAAAAAAAAAAGAAGACGAAGAAGAAGAAGAAGGGGAAAAAACCCTGCAACTGCAATGCCCAAAGTCTATGTATAGGCAAAATGCAAACACAATTTTTTTTTCACAAGACAAATGCCAATACTAGGCACAATGCAAATAAGTATATACTTTATAGTATATATCTAGTATTATCCAATCTAATTATCTAATACCTATACCTATGCTTGCAGGGGTCCCCTGTATAGCCTTAGGAGTAGTGGTGGGTAGGTAGTGAAAAGAAAGATATGTTCCATGATGGCATGGCAGAAAGCCAGTTAAAATATGTGAGTGAGAGAAAAATACATATGTAGCTGTCCCCCGATGAGGAGAAGACAGCTTTAAAAAAAAAAATGTGGAGCGGGCCCTGGCAGACGCTTCCGGACAGGCTCAGGCAAAAGAATTTCCTGGAGTCCCATTGCTGTCCCGTTTGCTTCGGTCAGCACTTTTGTTTGTTTGTGTGTTTGTTTGTTTGTTTGTTTGTTTGTTTGTTTGTTTGTTGGCCGAGCAGCTGCCGGGAACAATACAGCCCGGGTTTGGCAAGCAAGAGGTGAAACACTAGAAGCGGTGAAACACTAGAATCCCGCCGAGGTGCCATTTTGTCCGGGCTTCCCCTTTTTGTTTTGTTTTGTTTTGTTTTTCTGAGACCATTTTGCGCTTTGCCCGTTTCGTAACTCACTTCATTTGCGCAGGCGACCCTTCGCTAATCAGCGTGGGCCGGATTTCGTGTCATTTTGTCGTTCTCTGCTCTTGCTGCGTTTCTCGCTCATGCCAGATGTGTTCAGATAAAAAGTCCATAGTAGCTCGGGTTGTATCTCACCTGGACAGGTAAAAGGGACAGATTCATCCACGACTGCCCATAATCGCAGTCCAATACATTTTTTGAAATGGCTAGTGTGTGTATGCCCTAGAAACTTGTATTATATAATCCCATACATAATTTAACCAGTATCTCAAAGCTAAACACCCCTTTATTATTTGCAAGACAAGCCCAATGAATACAAACTTCCAAACTTACAAAGGCGACCAGCGTTGAAATTTCACTCTTAAACCACCACTACCTTTTCACAGGCAAACGCAAAGTCCATCTAGTAGCCTACTCCTGAAAACACGGGGCTCGGGGCAGGGTTGGAGGCCGACGCAAAAAAAAAAGAGAAAAAACAGAAAAAAAAAAACAAAGAAAACGAAGAGTTCACACTCCAGGGATGGCGGGGAAGGCCCTCACGAGGGTGAAAGTTATACCAGTGCTACGACGAATGCATCTGGCCACTATGTCGGAAAAGGGATTGCAGTTCGTTTTCCTTTCTGTTTTTGTTTTGATTTCCTTGTAGTGCCCTGCCAGCCAGGCAGGGCGTGTTTCACGGGTGGCACGTAACTATCTCACTGCTGTAGCATCATGTATCCGCCCTCAATCACAGGATAAGGGATTCCTTTTTGTTTTTTCGTTGCTTCTCTGTGTTTTTTCCTGTCCATGCCCTCACTAAGGGCACAGTCACACAAGCACCTCATAGAATGTATCTGGAATCTGGATGTTATCAAGGCGTTCGGGAAGTCTCTTTTTTTTCTGTTTCTTTTTCTTTTTCCTTTTTTCCCCCTTGTTCTTTGTTAGATGAAACTGATCCGGCTCGGCCAAACTCGGTGCGCAGTGAAAATCAGGGTCGGCAAAAACAGGCTCGGAGGTAGTGGTGGTCTAAAAAAAAAGAAAAAAAATCACTCTTATTCTATCCACCCAACCCATCCTTCTCACTCTCTCATCCACGGTCAAGTCAACGCACTGATGGGCATCCAGACTAAAAGCGACCAGCGTTGAAATTTCAGTTTCAGTCGTCTCTCTAAGCTGTGGGTAAGCAGACCAAAAACCAAAAGCGAGCAGCGTGTTGAAATTTCAAAATGCCAAGCGCTTCATTTTCTGACAAGAATCAATATTTGCGATCAGGGCACAACACAACACAGATGCGGATCAATTGTCATTTCCACTGTTCTCTCTCCAAAAACAGTATGATGCTCCCGCAGCAGGAGAGGACAAGGACGGGGCAAGGAATCAAGGATGAGTGTGACGGTGAGAGCATGACAGGAGGAGGAGGAGGAGGAGGAGGAGGAGGGCAAGGAAAGGGAGAGGAAGAGGAAGAGGAAGAGGAAGAGAAGGAAGAAGAGGAGATGCTGAAGAAAGAAATGCGGGTGGGCGGGGGTGGAGCAACGAGGAGGGAGGGGGGGGGGGGGGGGGGG